AAAAAAAAAAACATAAACAAGAAACTAATTATCGAAAATTAAAATATGTAATCAGATGAAGTAATCAACCTAAAATAGGCATTCACTAAAGTTTAACGTGCATTGAAAAAGCGACAGCTCAAGAGAGGTGCATGCCAATTTGAGCTTAAAGTCGCGGGCTCGGGGTTGCGTGGGAATCATACTAAACGGGGAAAGCCATTCTTGCAAGGCATTCATATGTCAGAAATTTAACATTTGCCTACTTATCAGGAAACCAAACTGCCCTTAGTGTTTTGCAGATAAAATCCAATTAAAGTTGGCTGAGCTAAGTCTTTTCGTGGACGTAAAATATTCTTTACATTGACATTAAGATCAAGACTGTAAATATTTGAGATTCAGAACTTCTGAATCTTCTTATCAGTGTATATAAAACACGTATTTGACTGTTTGAGTTTGTGCAACTTATGAGATTAGCTATCCATTCCAAAGATTCTAAAATATACCAGAACTTGTGTTGCTGTAGTTCGACCCCTCCTTGCTATATGCCTGTCTAGAATTTCTATAGGTTCCATCATAAGTTGTCCCTGATCTGTCACTCCAGTAGGGATATAAGTTTGAACTGGAACTGACCCTACCTTCTTTTTTAGCACAGAAACATGGAAGGTATGATGAATCCGAACATGAGCTGGAAGGTTCAATTTGTATGCAACTGATCCCACCTTGGCTTCTATTTGGAAAGGTCCAAAATAATGAGGAGCTAGCTTCTGACAGTGATGAGCTCATAAGGAGTGCTGCCTGTACGGTTGCAATTTAATATAAACCCAATCACCAATGTTAACTGCTTATCAGTCCTGTGCTTATCTACCAGTTGCTTCATCCTATGTTGGGCTTTGGACAAATTATGCTTCAACTGATGTATCAACATCTCTCTAGCCTTAAGACTTCTGTCTACTGATTCAACTGTAGCTGCTTCAGGTAGGTATGGTACATGAATCGGTGGTGCCTGACCATAGGCCACTTCATAGGGGGTGAATTTGGTAGAAGTGTGAAAGTTGGTGTTGTACCAATATTCTGCTAAAGATAACCACAGGCTCCACTGCTTAGGTTAATCACTGGTCATACATCTTAGGTATTGCTCGAGACATCTGTTGACCACCTCAATTTGTCCATCACTTTGAGGATGATATGAACTAGACATGTGTAGCTGCACCTGCTGAAGCTTGAAAAGCTCCTGCCAAAAATTACTAAGGAATGTGGTATCCCTGTCACTCACAATGGATTGGGGCATACCATGCAAATGATAAATTTAATCCAAGAATAGCTGAGCCACAGTAATAGCTGAATATGGATGGGCTAAAGCCGAGAAATGTGCATATTTGCTAAGCCTGTCCACTGCCACTAAAATGATATTTTTTCCCTTGGATAAGGGCAAACCTTCAATGAAATCCATGAAAATATCTGTCCAAACCCTGTGTGGAATGGGGAGTGGTTGCAAAAGACCAAATAAGAGGAATTCTCTGGTTTGGACCTCTGACAGATATCACAAGCTGCAACAAAGTTGGCAACATCCTTGAAAAAATGTTTCCAATAGACCACGCTTTTCAACTTTTTATAAGTCACTTCCATTCCTGAATGACCACCTTGTGCACTAGAACGCCATAATTCCATCAGTTTATGTTTCAAAATTGGATCGTCTCCAATTACCAACTTGCCCTTCCTCTTAAGAAGCTCCTGACTCCATGTATAATGTTAATGGCACTGGTGCCCTACAGACAAGTTCTGAATAATATCCTGCAACTGCTTATCATTCTGCTAGCTGTTCTGGATGTCAACAATCAAAGAGGAAGTAAATGTGACTAAGGAATGCAATTGCCCTTCAACATGAGGTCTCCTGGATAAGGCATCAGCAACAATGTTGTCATTGCCCCTTTTATACTGCACTATATAATCATATTCCATCAGTTTAGCTATCCATTTCTTTTGTAAAGGAGTGTGAATCCTCTGTTACAGAATGTACTTGAGGCTCTGATAATCTGTTCTGACTGTAAAATGTCTGCTAATCAAATAAGCCCTCCATTTCTCTATAGCAGTCACCACTGCTAGCATTTCATTTTCATACACAGATAAGGCCTGATGAGTTGGAGACAATGCCTTGCTGAAGAAAGCAATAGGCCTCTTCCCTCGCACTAAGACTGCCCCTATCCCAGTTCTTGATGCATCAATCTCAACTGAGCTCGAGCTCGAGCTCGAGTAGTACAAATTTTGATCGAGTTCGAGTTCGATTATGGTGCTACTCGAGCTCGACTCGGCTCGATAGCACCTCTAATTACTTGTTGGCCAAATGTCTCCTTAAAAATTTTTGTTTACTTTCTCATTGTAAGTTAATCACTTCAACTTTCAAATTAATAGTGTAACCATGACGTGACAATAATTGAGTACTTAAACAACTATTTTATTTTTAGGCAAAAATAGGATAATAAAAAGAATTAATAATATTAAAATAAGATAATAAAAAGAATTGAAAAAATTTTCTCAAAATCTTGTTGTATTAATGAATAAAATAATTATATTTTATCTTTAAATACATTATTTATATATGTAAAAGTATGATAAAATAAAATTGAGCCTTTTATTAATATTTATATATTTCCTTTTATAAGTTCTAAATTAGACATGGTTTTATAAATATTATTTTAGTGATTCATTGGTTCAATCATCACTCCGTCAGTCTAACCAATAAACCATCCGTGTGACCCCTTTTCTGACATACGACTAGCTACATTTGCTAACGCACTACTCAAAATCAACTTTAATAACATTGCCCCATATGTACGAATTTAGAAAATATCCATGTGACTCAAAATCAACATTAATAACATTACCCAACATTTCTGCCAAAAAAAAAAATTACCCCACATGTATTAATTTAGAAAATATCTACATGACTCAAAATCGACAACTCAAAATCAACATTAATAACATTGCCCCACATTGCCACTGCCAATTGGCCATCTAAGCCGAATTTTAATAAATTCAGACTCGACTCACTGAATTATAAAGACATTTGGGATTTGGGTCATGAATTTCAAACTAATATATGTGAAGTTCATATTTGCATCACGAAACATTCAAATGTTGAACCTAAGTCAGATTTAGTCCAAACTCACTTATTACTCTTTCATTTTCTGAATATAATTACTATAACCATTAAATAGTAAAGTTAATTTATAATCTACAATATTAAAACTATACATAAAATGGTAAAAACTTCATTAAAAGTAAATAAACCAAAAGTTTTTCAACAATAATCATGTCTAATGCTTTTAAAATACATGATAAATAATAATAATATATGATCAACAATTAATACACCATCAAAGGTTGAAACTTCTCCATAACCTTCTCAATTTGCTCCTGGTAGGATTTGACCATACCAAATCTTCATTAGTCAATAGAATGTTAATAGGTTTTTTTTCTTTAAATATATTTATTTAATGAATCTAAGTTTCCTCAAATATCAATACTAATTACTAATACTCTAATTATACATCACATTTTAAAAAACAATGCATTTATATTTATATACATTAAGGAGTGTGTATATATATATATATATTTTTTTGTCAAACTTCAACTGCATTATATAAGAGTGTGTATATATATATATACTATACATTAAGGAGTGTGTATATATATATATATATTTTTTTTTGTCAAACTTCAACTGCATTATATAAGAGTGTGTATATATATATATACTAGGGGTCGCTTCCCACGCAAGGCGTGGGAACTTTAGACCTGTTAGCAAGGTTCCTAACCATGGAAAAGTAGTATATATTAGTAAGGTGTCACTGAGTTTATGCAATTCCTGATTTTCACTTTTCTGTTTGATGAGCAGAGGAGAACTGGTCTGAGTTTTTTATATAATTGATTACTGCTTGAAATTGTCATTGTACTGAGAAGTAATGAAGACAAAACAAACTTGATTAAATATATAGAGAATTATGCACGGGTGAGGGAAGGGAAAATGTTGAAAGAGAAAAAGAAGCGAAAATAAGAAACAGATAATAATAGCAATGCGGAAGTTGTATACACAATCTATAAGCGCAATAAGTGTCTTACAATGAATGAGCATGAGCAATTGCTTTCACTGCATGATGTTTTAGGCTCTGATATTAAGTGTGAGCAAAAATCAATAGAATGAGTTTCCTGTTATAAAAGTAAAAGAATAACGTCCATGCTGCTATAAAAAAAAAAAAAAAAAAAAAAAAAAAGCAATAACTGACACGCTAGTTCAGGCTTGTGTCGTGAACTATGTGTTACACATGAGCTCAAAATGCTTAGTCCATTCAAAGAGCTCCAGTTCTGATTTCCTTTCTGCAGCACCATGAATCTACCAATTACAAAATTGTCCGTGAGCAAAGCTTGTAACAACTAAAAAAAATCCAACATAAAGCATTGTCAACAAAAACATTTTTTTTATTCTATAATAAAAAGATCATGCATCTATTGTGACTAAATGTGAAATGAAAATGCTGCGTTTCTCAATCTTCATTACACAAGTAGGAAAGTTTTAGTCAAAGTAACAGCAGGGGAGTTGGTAAGTTTTAGTCAAAGTAACAGCAGGGGAGTTGGTATGTGGAGAAGGTGCGAGTATAATAGCATAGAGGTAGTAATAGATGGGAAAACACTGAATATCCATTATGTTGATGTAATCTAAAATGGATGCAGCAGAAGAAATAAGAGTCTGTATACTTCTGATGTAGAGAAGAAAATGAAACAAGAAGATTAATACTTATGAGTTATTATTGTACAGCATTAATGAGATTTTATGCTCAGGTTAAATCAGTGAATAGTGGCATCCAACATTCCTAATGCTCAAATTGCAAGCATCTTGCTCATAGTGTCCTGATGCTTATCCAGAATAAATTTTTCCAATTGCCGTCTATTAAATAAGGCAAAAAAAATCAGGGAATCACTGTTAATCAGGGAATCGCTGGCACATCTGATGTCAAAGGCTCCAGCAATGATATGGCCTCGCTCAGACCAGTACCAGCACATGATATGCCAAACATAAGAACTGGACTATGATGAACATGTGGATTATATGATTCAGAGAGCAGGGAGACGATTTGAGGAGTCTACATTTTAAGATTAGCAACTCAATTAGATGGATTGTTCAATATGTGCATTTTCATTGATCCTTGTAGAAGGTTTGAAAAAATTAAGAGCGAATACATCATATGAAAAGTTGTTTGGAGAAGTAAAGCCTTGTTGTCAAATTCTTATAGCCTAGAACATAAACCATATGCAAGTGCCAAACCTGAACGTAAGAGAAACTAAGCCATTGCCAAAACTGCAGTGTGCCTAACATTGTCACTCAATTCTGATGCAGCAAAATGCAGCAGCTGTCGAATGGCCTTGTTGTTTGCAGTTCTACTGTAAGCCAATGCAAATGCATACATTTATCCATAACGTAGTATGGGGTCTTGATCCCAAGTTATCTGCTCAATCAGTGTATCAGTTGCTTCTTCTGTTCCATAAACTGTCAAGAGCTATCCCCAATGCCAAATCGTTAGAAATGTCCAACTGACTTTTGATTTCTCTTTTTCACAAAAAGAGAGAATTCATTTAGCTTTTAATTTTAGAAATAGATTATAGACATTAAGCAGAGATGTCCGAGTAAAGGACATTCTTTAAGGTAGGTACTATGTTGAATAACTTGTAGGAGACAATTTTTAAAAAAGGAGGAAAAGTGCAAAGATAAAAATAGGTACTTTTTTACTTAACACAACAAGGCAAATACCTCAGCATTAGCGCTTGTTAGACTATCACACAGGAACTGATTTATGCCTTCCCTATAGTAGACACTGCTTGTGTTTCTCGTAGTGCTGTTGCGCTAAACTTAACCTAATTTGTAGCCCGGGTGAGCCAGTTCTGAGAGTTTAAACAAATACAAAATGTTAGATAGAAATGACTACGTTTATCATTATGCAACATATAAAATGATGAGCAAAGCAGGTGCACAGTAAGGTGCTGACGGTTCTGACAGCATGCATAATGCTATTAGCGTATATAGTTGCATTATGACAAATATTATTTCTCATCTCAACAGATTGCTTTATTGTGTTGAGAATTAGGACATGCAATGTAATATGCAAAAAACCAACAATTAGTCAAATACTTCAAAGAAATCTAGTAAACTGAGAAACTATCTTGGGAAGAGAAGAAAAGAAAATAGGGAAAATGCCTTAGTTATAATAATTATATAAGAATTGCAATGTCAACTGTATGGAAGTCTCTCCAGACAGTATTCCTTTTATTTTTCATAACCTCTCAGCATAAACATCTTCCTTGAGACTGGAAAGTTGGTCCTTCATTTTCAAAAGAAAAGCTTGGTGTTCATTCTCTACAAGGTTAAATGCTATTTGAAATCCCAATAAAGCATCATTATTGCTTTCTGTTCTTAAGAGTTTCTCAAATACAGCTGCAATGTCCTCTGGTCTATCCAAAAAACATGAGAAGCTGACATATGCTTAAATAATGGGGTGATGGCAGTTTTTGGAATACTCTAACAAGAAGACGTTGTATCTGCATTAAAGTAGTTGAGGGTCAGAATTTCTCAAATTTTGACATCTAATATATTTGGACTAATGTTCTCTAGAATTAGTAATAAGGTTAACAAGAATGAATTAGAATTATGAACAAGGTTAACAAGAATGAATTAGATAGATATAACCACGTCACACTAATATTTTCTAGAGCTGACAAAACTGTGAGAGACCTGATTACAATAGTATAGGGTTACTTAAATGCTGTCACTTCTTATAACTGCTTCCTCAATCTTATCCAATCTTTGGTATTTTATGGCTATTCTCACAGCTTATTGATGTTTTCTGTTAGTTATAAACCTACAGGGAGGTCCAAAAATGAGATAATGAGAAAAAGTTTAAATCTATAGTGTAATCTAGCATTTCAGAAGTTTACATACTTATCAAGCATCCTTTCAACAATGGATTTTGATCTTGAATCTATCTTTGCTGCTTTATTTGACTCAGCAGCCTTGGTCTTGAGGTCAGGACATTCGTCTATAGCTTTAGCTGAGACACAAAAGCATATAATAGAAAAATAAGTAAGACGTGCATGCCATGGTTAAAAAGAAATGCATAGTTAAGTTATGTAGTACCAATGCCACTTTATAGTCAAAATTTAGTATTTATCTAACCATGATTTATTTGAAGGCAGAATTCAAGAATAACATCCTACCTAGAATACTTCGGACATAATATGAATCTTCTGATGACAAATTTACACAAATGATAGCTCTTAGAAATTAAGATTGAGAGCCTTAGTTATGAGTTGGTTTTCCTTTAGATCCTTGAAACTTTCAATTTTCTACCAGTCTGCCATGCTGGATCTATTTCTTTCTGATAAGGAGGTTAAAGAATGGAAATGAAACATTGGTTTCCATATTTTGTATGATACCAGTCTCTCATGAGGGACTTGTTACGTTTACCAAAAGTCATTCTCAAGGTTACCTAGATTCTGAGCAGTTCCAGAACGAGGAACAATTGGGGATCATAGAATTCTACGCAATCTAAATGCAGAAGGCTGGGCATAAGGTTCTTTGGGGTACTTAGAAGGGACAAAGTTCAATACTCATGAAATGGTTCTCTAGATCATATCAGAAAAATCGCTTTTTATGCAATTTTCTAGATAAACTATTCAAACATCAACATTTAGATAAATAATTATGTGAAATTGTCTGATAAGACACTAAAAAAAAAGAGCATGTATTCTAGGAGCATAACTTGACTCCAACTTTCGAACTCCAAAAGTGGAATTCCAAATCGTCAATAATACTTATTAGAATTGCACTTATCGAATTCAAAGTTCATCAAGACTCGAGCAATTAATGGTAACACAGTAGTAAAACCTAGATGTGATTCCTACATTTCTTTTATTCCATTCCTATTTATTTTTAAGTCAGATTTGGTCTTCAAACTCATTAAGAAACACTGCATCATTTTTTATATCATGGCTATCATAAAAGAAGGTAAAACAAAACTTAAACAAATAGATTTGGACTTGTCTCAACTTTTGAGACAACATAATGATTTGGAGCAAGGAAACATATTAGTTATTGATTATGTGCTTAAGTTTCTTGAGCTGTTTGTTCAAGATTCAGTTGTTCCAAGTCCTCGAAAAATAATTAATACATAAAAGCTGGTCTGTAGTATGAAATTATGAAGCAGTTGCAGGAAAAGAAGTTTTTATCAACTAAAGGATGCTTTTTGAGCAAAGATGTCAAGGTAAATCAGTACTTGAGTTATGGGAGGTTGGAAATGAAGAAATTCAAGTGATAAAAAGAGCACTTAATGGACTCAGCTGTAGCTTTCCTATATTCTGAACTTGCAGAGACATAAAACATGAAACTTTCCCATGAGAGAAATTATACAAGTGCAAAAGACCATATAAAATGAAAGCTATATCCTCTCACCTCCTTCATTGGTCCAGAAAGGAGAGCTAAAGTTTCGGAATCTTCCTTGGTCTCCATCAATAGAGCTGCAAGCTTTGCCTCAGTGCGCTAACGAAGGAAAGTTCACTTCTCATCACGTGTCTATTGCACAATTTCCTTGCATAGGGCAATCTGAACATCAGATGCGGCAGCTATTTTGGCCACCGTATCAAGAATTCCACAGATAATTTTTGCAGCTTTTGCTTTGGGGATCAAGGAAAAGAAGGGCCGAAGTTGGATCAAAAGGTTCTTAAGTTCCTTTGTCTTATTTTGTAGAGAAGGATGTCCAACTTACCAGACAAAAGATGTATGAAGACGCTTACAATTTTGTCGAAAGAATTAAAGGCTAAGCTGCATCTCCACACAATCAGTGCCCAAGCCAGTGGACCCTGCAGTTATGTGAGGAGTCAAGACATAAAGAAGCAAATCTTAATGCCATTTAGATGAAAACAAGGCATCTCCAGATTGATTGCTTACCTCTGCAAAAGAGAAGCAAATCATGAAAAACTTCTCATTTCTAGGAAAACAAAGAAGCATGACCAAGAATAGTGTGTTGGCGTAGTAGCAGAAGTCCTGAATGGCAAAAGAAGTACATAGTGACACAAGAGAAAGTACATTTTGTAGGAGATGAAGTCTACACTGAAACAGAAAAATTCACAGATAACATGTACCATCAGAATTCCAACTAAACATAGAGTGATTTTGTCTAATTAAGACTCTAGAACCTCTTCGACAAAACATCTAAATAACCGAGATACGCAAAACAAAAAATATTCGTATAGTTAAATGGGCCAAAACAAGAAGTTGCAAAACAGGAAGAGCTTACCAAGAGATAATAATGCCATTTCTTGTATCGATAATAAATCCACCGTAGAGGAACAAATATGATAGAGAGCAAACAATATGCATAAGGGACATCTTGAGGCCCTGCGCCACAATAGAAAAGAACCACAAAAACAAATTAGCAAATGACAATCCACAAGGCCTAACTAATTATTCGAGGGATAAAGATAACTGAATTATCAAATCTCAAGAATGTAATACTCACTGGCACCCAACAGAAAGCAGAATGTTCCAAACCCAAGAACACTCAACAAATAAGTTACCTATCAACCCAAAAAGCTCCCAATCAGTGCAACCTAAAATCGACATCCCAGGTTACCAAACCATAAGCAAAGATGCTAGTAAAAGTAAATAAACAATGAATCCCGGAAACAAATATGAGCTACAAAGTTGTTCTTTTAATAGCTACTGAGACCATCTGACAAACATATGGTGGGTTTTGGTCGGTCAGTTACTTGATTACCTTGTTGATGAATCTTTCGTGCTCTTCAGCCCGTTTGGCAAAGATCTGTTTATTATGCATCATATGGTGGGTTTGTTGCTCACATGTCAGTCATTGCCCTGTATTCTCCAGATGAGGCAAATGTTTGTCTGTTCTGTATACACTTTTAGTTCATCAAACCCGCATGTGGGCATTTGCATCAAGAATTCAAAGAAAACAGCTATGAACATTCATGTACCAATGTGGACCATCTAAACCTGCAACAAACTGATGATGAACATTAAAAATTCGAACTGGTAGCAGGACCAGTTTTCTTGACTTGCTAGAAAGCCTCAGAAATTTACTCACTCATTGACTAACTTGCTGTAGGATTATTCCAAGTTTATGCAAGAAAGGAAGTTATTATTCAAATTCCTGTCAAGTCATTTTCAGCAATTGTTTCCATATCTGCATGCTTTTGTCTCGTGGTCTTTCATTTTCGTCCAGATAATTGATGCTCACAGGTTTGTTTGCAATGCGTGTTTGATTGCTTCGCACAGGTTTGTTTTCGTTTTTTGAAATAAAATTTATTCTATCTTTTAGTGAGAGATATTGAAGCTATCGTCTGGTGCTTTCTTTTCTTGATCTTATTCTTTAAGTTGCAACTCTAATCTTCATATTAATGGGACAGAACTACTGAGGAAAATTTTTTGGCTCATTTGGGGATCCGGACTGCAGATCTTCCAAAATCTTTTTGACTTTCTAGGGGTTCTATTATTAGTATTTCCTTCTGAAACATAATGCAGTTTTATCCAATTGAGGCTATAAGGTGTGAAACAAAGAAAAATTACTCTTAAGTCTCCTCTGACATAATAATATCCCAAAATTTATCGTTCAAGCCACTTTTCAGGACTTGCAAGTTGTAGATATTAATAGGCATCATAGATTTTTTTTTTCTTATTTTCGTGGTGGATAGATATTATTGATCCTTGTTTCTTGGACTGTACAGTCTTTATGTGATTGTGCAAAGTTGTGAAACACAAGGCATTGGTGAAGTTTGAGATATTGGGTCTCACTCCAAGTCAAAAATATGTCTTTTGAAATAACTTTTCTGAAATAACACGTTTGGCAAAGTCATTTACAAAGATCTGTTTGGTTTGACCTGCTTGCTTCGACAACATCTCTTTCGTTTTAGCCACTTTCTGCGCAACAAACAATTTCTAGATGACATGGAACTACCCAAATCGCATCACAAACTGCAAAACTAAATCAGATACGTGGGAAAAATTAATACCTCTGATCGATCTCTGAGCCTTTTCATTTGATTCGCCATTGGAGTCCTCCGGAGAAGAAGAGTCTCCGTTGCTATACATTTTCTTGCTCAAAGACTCTCCTGTGTTAACGGAAAAGTAAATAGCCAAATTTGATTCGAAAAGCTAAAAATTAACATCAACATCGGAAATGATACTTACAAAAAAAAGTCACCACTGGAGCGCACAGCAATCTTCCAGCATAATTGAAGTTTTCACAATCTTAAATAGTGCTTATGTTAAACAAGACAAAAACCTGTGCTAAAACAAATACAAATAAATTTTGACAAAAGTAAATAAAAAAGAAGGAGAAAAAAAAAATCAACGGTAGCCAAAAATAACGTGAACAAATTAGAGCAAAATTCAAAATTTTATCTGTTCCTTTGCATTTCATATCAAGTTTATCAACTCAACATACAATAATTATCTCATCCATTTCAAATTCTAAAGAGAACTGTTACCATTTTTACTTGCTGCTTTCTCACTAAATACCATTGAAGTACAAAAACCCCTAACGCCCATTAACGCTTCGATAAAAAAGTGTGCAAAACAAATAAGATACTCAAAAGGGAAGAAATAAAAGAAGGATGGAGAGAGGAAAAAGGAAAGCTAACCAGCTTGAGCTGGGGGGAGCGGCTTCGAAGGAAGCTTAGCCGTCAGCTTGGATTGCTGCTGCTGAGCAGCTGCAGGAGCTGGGGTTTTCTTAGCTGCGGCCGCAGGAACCTTCTGAGCAGCAATCAGCTGTGATGGGTCTTCAGTGTATTGCTCACAACAAAGCGATATTTCGGAGTATTGTACTTGTTCTTGTCTTGATTGATAAGACGCACCCTAGCTCGGTAGTCCGTCTTTCCCTCTCTCCTTCTCTTAAACGAGACTTGGTAGTGCTTGAAGTAAGCTTTTGTTTTCTGGGCTTTAACAAAAGCCATTGCTACGGCAGTCGGAGCTGTTAGCCACGGGGTGAGGGGGTGTTGAGGGTGGGGAGTGGACGGGGGCATCGGGTGAGAGAGTGGGTTTGGTAGGTATTGGTTTGATAATGCGTAGTATATCGTCTGATAAGTGATAAGGTCGACAGAATAAAGGCATAATTGGCTTGAATTAGTAATGGCCGACAGAATTCAGAGGGAAAACGTAAAAAGCTATTGTAAAATGACACTATTAGACATGAGTTGAAAATATATAGTCCATTCAATGAATATTTTGAGGGACGAAAATGTAATTAAACAAGAGAAAATTAGCTGGCTGATAGAAATCAACATCACATCTCATTAATGCTTCTTGTAATAAATGCTGCAAAACAGCCAATGTTCCACTGACATTCGGCTAAGCCTTGCAACAAGCAACAAGCAGTTCCAATAGCTCTTGAACAGAACAAACGAATTGCAATGAACACTAACCAAAAGAACAACCACAACCAAAAGACTTTAAGGACAAAAATGGGCCTGAAGTGAGCAGATGAAATTTTAAGGACAAAAATGCCCAATGAACAGGAACCCAAAACCCAATGAACAAAGTGCTTCTTATGTATATGTAAGGACATTTCTAATGACTTCCAAATTATTATGTTTACCATAATTCTTCATTTTTTTTCATGATTGTTTGGTCTATGACCTTAAATGATGAAAACATCATTTAATTCAATAATTTAGTTGAATTTATTTTTTATCTTTCTCAAAAGTGTAATTTTAATTTTAATTCAGATTCAGAAGTTTAATTGGAGTTTAATTCTCAATCTTTTAATTCAAAATTGGAGTTTAATTGGAGTTTTAATTCTCCATTCTTGATTTAACTCCATTTTTTATTCGAGTTGAATTTTAATTTTAATTCAGAAATCTAATATTTCTAAATCTATGAGTTGCGATTATTATGTCTACAATAATTCTTCATTTTTTTTTATGATTGTTAGGTCTATCATCATATAATTCAATAATTTAATTGAAGTTTATTTTTAATTTTTTCCAAAATTTTAATTTAATTTTCATTCAACAGTTTAATTGGAGTTTAATTCTTTAAAAAAGTTAATATTTTTAATTGAATAATTTGGGAACATCCATTATCATTTAATTTAACTCAAGTTAATTTCAAGAGGAGATATATTTTTTTCTTCCCACTCCACACAACTATGCATACAATCAATGTGGGGTCCACGGCCCACAAGCAAGAAAGCAGAAATCTCCAACGTATATAATATGTGAAGGAGCCTAAACCACAATGAGAAGCAGAACGTTGCAGTGGAATGTTATCGTGGGCTCCACAGTCCAAAAGCAATAAACCAAGAGTGCAACGTACAAAGCACAAGCATCACAAAGTGCACTCGAACGTACAACATCCTCAAGCATGGAGATGCACACGAAATCCCAGCAATAGTATGCAATGAACAGTATCCCTCCAAATGTCTTCCTCTATATTTAGCTCCACGAAAAAGAACAGCCAAAAGGCTAGAAGAACAAAAAGCTAGAAGGACAAAAAAATGAACAGGACCCAAAACGTCTTCTTATAAGATATAAAGATATATATATATATATATATGCAATTAGTAATTATGTGTTGGACTTTAATCAGGCTGAGCCCATAGAGGCCCAATCTCGGCTAACAACATTTTAATTGGACGTTAAATCAAGATTTAAATTTTGCCCGCTACATAATTACACTAGGCTCGCCCCTTTTCTTTCGAGTCAAATAGGCTGAGGTCGGACCAATTCAACCCTATTGACAGCCCTACTCACATGTACGGATTGAAAAAGTATCCACGTGATTCAAAATCAAATATAAATGACACTGCCCCACACGTGGAAATTTAGAAAATAACCACAAAACAAAACCAAATAAAATAAAGCCAACTCACCATACAAAAAATTTGCTAGAACCTTAAATACGAGGAAGTGCAAAGTAGAAATTGTGGCAACTCCTCCGGAACAAAGAGTGATACAGGTTTAAGAGGTATGGAGTCTCCGACAGTCCAATATGTGTCTCAATGTTTTATCAAACCAAAATACACTCCGGAAGAGTCAAAACAACCACTTTACTTGTCACTATGGGACGTAATGTTGGTCATTGCACACTATATGCAGAGGGGCTTCGTTTTTGCAAAGCCTCCAGGATTTGACACCGATGGTGAAAACCAACTTCAAGAACTTGTGCAGAAACTCAAGGAATCACTTTCTCTCACCCTTGTTCATTTCTATCCATTAGCAGGTCGTCTGGTAACGCAGAAAAAAGCTGAGAATCCTTCTGAATTGGCAATTTATATCGATTGCAATAAAAGTCCTGGGGCTCGATTTATTCTCGCATCATTGGACTTGACCATGGATGATATACTTTCAACGACGTACGTTCCCCGAATTTTGAGATCATTGTTTGATCATGAGAGGTCAATCAACTATGATGGTCACACCGAGTCTTTGCTGACCATTCAAGTCACTGAGTTGATAGATGGAATCTTCATTGGATGCTCCATGAACCATATGGTAGGGGATGGGATATCTCTCTGGCATTTCTTGACCTCATGGTCAGAGATATTCAAAGCGGAGGAAAAAACTAGTGTAATCTCAAGGCCCCCAGCACATGATCGACTGTTTCCACGGGGACGACATAATCCGTTTCTCAGACTTCCATTGATTTATGACCATGATGATCAGGTCATCATCAATAGAGATGAAGCAGATATATTGCCAGCTGATATGATTAGGGAAAAAATATTTCATTTCTCATCTGAGACAGTGAGAAAGCTGAAAGCAAAAGTAAATGCTGAGCGGAATGCTACTGAGATTTCTTCCTTGCAGGCAGTGTCAGCTCATCTTTGGAGATGCATAACAAGGGCTCGGAACTTCCCATCAGATCGAAAAACAAGCTTTGTTATGGTTGCAAATGCAAGATCAAAGTCAGTTCCACCAGTGCCTGAGGACTACTTCGGTAACTATCTGCGAGCAGCGATAGCAACAGCTGGCTGTGGTGAATTACTGGAACACGGCCTAGGATGGGCAGCATGGCTATTGCACCAGGAAGTGATCAATCAGACAGGCTACGGAATATCACATGAGCAGATGGAATCATGGCTGCAATCGGCAATCCTATCTGGTAGTGATGCTCCCGATCCCAGTAGATTACTCTTGGCAGGCTCTCCACGATTTAACGTGTACGGAATTGATTTTGGACTTGGGATTCCAGTAGCAGTTCGAACCGGTAGTGCAGACAAATTCGATGGGAAAATGGTTGTGAGTCCAGGAGTTGAAGGAGGTGGAAGCATGGACTTTGAGATTTGCCTTCTACCACATATAATGACTTCTCTTGAATCAGACAAGGAGTTCATGGAGACAGTCTCTTAGCTTATGAAGGCCAAGTTCGGAGTTACAGCTCCATATAACAGGATCAAGGTGGCTGCTTTAGCCTCTAGTGCCCATGAAATTGATTCCCTGTGGCTTTTATGATATTTGTTCTTCTTTTTTTTTTTTCTTTCGGTTAATCTTGATTGCTTTTACTGATAGAGCAATTATTGAGCATATTTTGCGCTATTATTCCGTTCTAATTTTAGCTACTTATGGTGCTAAGAATTGAGATTTTGCTCATATTTAATATTTATGTGACTTGTAGGGGTTTGGTGTAAAAAAGTAATCTTTTGGAGCAACTTTTGGGAGACCCTTTATCTCAGGGCATGACCACACCAGAAATTGAAGAAGGTACCTCAAGCCGGAGCCGCGGGATTAATTGCAGCAAAGCCAACTAAGGATCCCGGTCCACGTGAACCCGAAACACTGGATCAGAACCTTTAAACAAAAGCTTTGTTCCTGACCCTTTGTGGATTTCTCCTGGCGGCGCTAATTAGAAGCTATAAATAGGAAAAGGCCAGATTCATAAGAGGGCAATTTTTTTAGCTTTAGTTTTCTTTTCACGCAGCAGTCAGACGTTGAAGACTTTTCCTTGCTTTTTGGCTTTTACGCTTTAGACTCTTTTGCTCTTGCTTCGGCTCTGTACAAATTCTCGTGGGTGTTGTGTTGAACTTTGGGTTTCAGTACGAACATCAACGCAGAGACAAGGAAGACTTTTTCCTTTTTCTTTCTTCGGTATTTCATCGTTCCAAATTCTGTGATGTTTGTGCGGATGGAATCAATTAACCCACGTGTGATTGACACGATGAGGAGCGGCTAGTTTTTTCTTCTATCCAAAAGTCGACGTAAAGGCGCGGTCCATAATATCTGTGAGATCTAATCGAATTTTCATTATTTCTTCCAATCTATTGCTATTCGTGCGTTTTCTGAATTAATTGTTCATGGGTATTTTATTAATTAAATATCAATGGCCGGGTATTTGATTTAATTCAATAGCCTACTGTCACATTAACTGAATTGAATCCGTAATTATTCGTTTAGTTGATAACTAGTGACAACCACCATAATTGGCTTTATGTTGGGGAAACGCGAGATCTAATTGAAATAAATTCTCTTAGCGTGTTTATTGATTAGGGTTGGATTTTTCTAGCTTTAATGCAACTGGATAATTAAATTCCTACGGTCGTACCTAGGGTTGTTTTCTGGTTATAGAAGCAGTCAACGGTCGTACCTTGGCTGTCGAAAAGGTAAGGAAAAACTGGCTGTCAGGGCTTGTTGATAGCCATAACCAACCTAGTGATAAATGGATGAAATATCTTTGCATCGATGAGCATTTAATTGGACCGTGCCTGAGCAGTTGATCTTTTGGGTAGAACTTTTATTAATTGCTCTTTTTAGTAAATTGTGCTTTGTGAGTTAGTTTTGAACTTTGTTTGTTTTATTTCATTTTTATTTGTCTCCCATTGAAAACCCCCCACTTGTCTTGACTCGAAAGGAAACGAATTATCCCCAATCCCTGTGGATTCGACACTGCTTACCACTATTTATAAAAATTAATTTTAGTTTAGCAGATTTTAATTATTGCACATGTTCGATGCCTGTCATTTACTTTGGTTGATTGAATAAATCACATGCTTTTTATGACAATCCATAGCAGCTGGTTTGATGATACTCTAAATCACTTGTCATAGGCCAATTTTCCCCCACCGGGTGGAAATCCTAATGCGGATTTGCAGAGGGATTAAGTACTGTCCCTGCCCCCTTTTTGTCATTTTACTTGGTATTTCACTTCTCCCTTTGGACAAGATATATACAAGCATGATTTTACAAAGAAAGCTATCCCTCCAGGGAATAAGGTAATTATAGTGCGAATTCATGTGAGCAAGAACAATGTTAAGATTCAATTTGAAGACTTCCAACCAAATCAATTTTCTTTATACATAAAAGTTGAATAGATCATAAAAGTTTAGCAGCGCATAAGTTAACAACTTCAGGAGTGCGTTGTCCCTTTACACTTAAAATAAAGACCAAATACAATAAACTAGTGAGTTTTTCATGTGTAACGAAGACTGAGAAACATTCATCATATGACTGCAGATCGAATGCTAGCAGCTTTAGGGTTTAAGAGTTATTGCAAGCTATACAAGAAAAGAATTTGGAAACAAAAGAAGGAGATTTTGCTTGTTTCTCTGGTGGATCTGCTGGTAAAGAACAAATAGTAGACTCATCTGCTTCATTTTGCCTCAATCTCTCACATTCATCTAAGAATCTCTTGAAGGAATTATGAACATAATCCGCGGCTGTAGCGACAGTCATGTCTTCCACTAGTTTGTTCGGATAAGTGTCCTTTATGTGGTCTCCCCCTAAAACTGCTGACATCTGAACCAATTCTTTCTGGAAGTCCGTTAATTTAGCATCTTCTTTTGCTTCAGTCTCCCTTAATCTGACTGGTTCCGGCAAAGTTACTGCAGTACGTCAGACGTATAACAACCGAAACTGAATCAGAACAAAGCTATATCTGGTTGACGCATGGTGCATGAGAAAAGAGTAGAACGTGTAATCTTGTAAAATTAACTAGTTTACATGCAATGCAAAGGAATAGAAAGAACTGATACCAGGACAATCAGTTCTTGGAGTCTCTCTGCTGATCACAGACTCAAAAGTGCCAGCCCATGCATCGCGCTTGGTAAGAAACTCTTTCAAGTTGAAGATTTTCTTAACAGTTGCAGGTATTGAGGAATGTTCGAACTCAGATGTAGGATGTGGTCCTGAAGGCCCATGTAACACTGCAAAATGAAATCAATCAACAGATGGGTGAGTTCAAGTAATCATGAACAAGAAATAGCTACTATCATTAGTCCCTCATTATTTTGCCTGGTTGAGTGATCATATCTCTGTTTACTACTACTACTCGAGATCAAGATTCAAACTCTTTAACTTTCTTTCCTCCCCTAAGGTACCAAAAACGCATAGTTATAGTCTTGAGGTTCATTCAAGAACAATCAATCCAGGTGTATTACCTGTTCCTTTCTCAATCCAAGGGGATACCATAATGGAAGGAACCCGAACACCTAAGCGATCAAACTGAAATTTGTAAGGCTCAGGACCAACGATGTCATCTGGGCTTGGAACACCAGTGACCGGTGTTGGCACATGATCAAAGAAACCACCATGCTCATCATATATGATTATGAACAACATTTCATTCCACTGGGGACTTGATCTCAATGCTTCATAGACTTCTTTGACAAATTTTTGGCCCTCAAAGACATCATGAGAAGGGTGATCATCATTCCCTGGCAATATCTTCAAGTCAAAATACCTTTGTTCAACTACTACATAGTTTGGCAGCTTTCCCTCTTTGCAATGCCTTTTAAAAGTGAGATCAAAGGGATGAAAGTTCTTTATGTACTTCAATTTTCGAAGATTCCTGCATTCAATAACACTGCTCTTTCAAGGCACATTGCAATGAAATAAACATTATCTAGCACGTAACCACCCAAAGCTACCTAGTCTTACATAGTCAACAGTCAAGAAAGCTCAATATATCGGAGATCTAAACATAGGATGACAAAAAAGTGAACAATAAAACAACATTAGCAGTGCCAGCAGCTGTAATCATAACAAGCGTAATTTGTTTAAGGAGATAAATCCAGAAAAATTAACTTATCAAAACTCAAAAGGGCGAATACCATTTTTAGCTCAAACCTTGTTTCTTTTTATAATTTTACAACATCCATATTGTTCTGATAATTGCTACTGATGTATTTGACTAGCATTAATTGGCAATCTCATAATAAAATTATTACTCCAGTCAACTGGTTATCTCCAGAGTTGATCTAGGACCGCTTTTCGATCAATTTTAAAAACGAATGAATTACCTCCTTCTTCTTCTTCTTCTTTTTTTTTTTGAGGAAAATGATTAATATACTTAGATTAAGAATGTCCCAGATGAAGATGGGTTCTTGTAAGAAACTATTTCATATTTAAATGATAAGCAAACCAGGAGCTGAAGATATGAACTAGATTTTTAATTTTAAAAAATCTTTCTTATCTTGTGTGCTTTGGTTTTTTGTTTTTTCCCTACTATAAAAGCAGATGGAAAAATCAAATCAGGCAGGAATAGATCAATTCATGTATTATTTGTTTTGTAGGGTAACTTGTATAGATCGTCATAGCGTAAAAAAGCCTCCATACCAGAACTTCTCAATTCATTTACCTGTATTTCCTTTTAATAAAAAAGTAATTTGTAGCATAAAATTAGAGAATATTTTTTTTGTAGAAGAAAGTACTTAAGTAAACATAATCATGTATACTAGTTGCTTTAAGTAATTGTGTAGCATTTGCATTATTATTTGTACCTTCTAAAACGTATAAAAGGATGTTAGTCAAGACAGATATATACTAGGTTGGATTCAAATCCTTTGCATATTATATCATGATTCAAAATTGAATGGTTAGAATTGAATTTGTCGGTGCAAATTTCAATGAGTCACAAAAATTGTTGTATTTTTTATATATTATTGTCTTAGTGTTTATATTGATTAGTTTAGTTTCCACATTTATTATATAAGGTGTCTATCTCCCATACATGTCTATATTGATTGGTTTAGTGTTTGTATTTATTGCATTCTACGGTGTCTACCCGCCATATATATTGTCAAGATATAATAATTTTGTACACAAAAAACAAATGAAATTTATTGGAATCACACCGCGGAGGAGTAAATAGTAATGTGACAGATTTCTATTTTATGCACTAAGAGGGATGAAAATTTAGAAGTGGTTAAATGAGCTAAAGCCAGTACACGTAGGACTTCGATGGTTTCTTGCAAGTTTGATTTCAAAAGGAAATGAAGAGAAACGATGACTTTGAAAGTTGACAAATTTGCAACTTTGTGCTTTTGGTACTCGAGTGAAATATGGCCATGGTTCATTGTCGTCATCTATCGTTTCAGACGTCAATCTCATCCCGATAGTAGTAAAAGCATATGCCATAA